TTTTTTTTATTTTATTAAGGGTACATTAAAGATTATTACCCTAAATTTTTGTTAAAAAATATTTAATTATTACAAAGTTATTAACAATCTTGTCGAGCACTGGAGAAAATTTCCTCCTCCATAGTCGGTTTGATAACTCAAAAACAGATAATCTGAAAATATAAACCCAAATTGCTTTTTAATCAGTAATGATGTAGTTATCGTCGCACGTACGGAATTTTAAAGATTTTTTTAGCCGAGTTAAAAAAAAAAAAAAAAAAAAAAAACAGTAAGAATAGTGAAAAAATTCTCAATCAGTCGCCATTTTTTTTAAAATTAAAATATTCAAAATTCCTTACGTGCGACGATTACATCCTTACTGATTAAAAAGCAATTTGGGTTTTTATTTTCAGATGATCCGTTTTCGAGTTATCGAACCGACTATGGAGGAGGAAATTTTTTCTAGAGCTCTACGAGATTGTTAATAATTTTGTAATAATTAAATATTTTTTAACAAAAATTTAGGGTAATAATCTTTAATGTACCCTTAATAAAATAAAAAAAAAAAACCGATCTCCAAATTCCTATATTTTCCCTGTCAAAAAAATTCCCGAAAATCATCACTTTTTTTTCGATCGTCACAGTGGTGTTCCTCCCTAAACTCTTGGTTTCTTCGGTAAATTCTATAAATTTTATTATTAATATTAATAAGAGATCCATGACAGACAAGATTAAATATAATTTTTTAAAATAATTAATAAATTATGAGCTAGGAAAATAATTAAACATAAAACTTTTTAATTTAATTTAGTTTATTTCATTAAATACAATATTTGTTATTAATTTATGATTGAAAATATACTCTCGCAATAATATTACAACTTTAAAATATTTTTGTACTAACATTTGTATAACATAGTCCGTTTAATTTTGAATTTTAAAATAAAATATTTGAAAAGATAAAAAAATTAAAATACTTCAATTCAATAAAATGCACTCCAATTAAAATAAGTATATCGTGTTATTTTTTATTGTGCTTGAGATTTTATTTTCTACAATATGTTTCCAACTATAATTTTACAATATACATATATTTCTTTAAATGTATACATATACTTATTTTGTCTTTATATTTTTATATTTAAGATTACTTTAACATTTTCGTATAATATAAAATTTATTGATAACATTCGCGCCCATTCTTTGCTTAGTTACAAGAAAATAACTAAAGTTAAATTCAAATTAGAAAACAAATTTTTATTTTTAAACATTGAACATGGTAATTTTATTTTTATTTAATTTTAAAATTATATAATTAATTATTATATTGCAATTAAATAATTTAAGTAGTGATAAATTTTTTTTATTAAATCTCAATACATTTTTTTTTTTTTTATTTCAACGGCAAGCTTTGTAACATTTATCCTATACGAATTTTATAACAATAACCAACAACTAACAATCAAACTAGCACTCGCTCAAAAATATAAATATATTCGTCAATTATTGAATTTTATTTTTTTTCGTGTTATTTTATTAATTCATATATCAATAAATTAGTATAATTATTTATTATATATCCAATGATTAATGACTGAAGCTAATCAAAACTAGAAACTCTCGTCTACTTCAATATTAAACTAAATTAAAATACAAAATTATTAAAAACAATAAATATAAACATAAAAAATTTTATTTAATTTTCTAATTAATACCCATTACCACAATTCGCAATTAAGTCAAAACTTTATTACATCTAGATAATTCATTCAGTCAAAGCCATAATTTATTATAAAAAAGAAAATTATCAATAAAACGAGAGCTTTAATTTCACACTTGATTAATCAACGAAAATTAATTACTTTTTTTTTTTCTAACACTATTTATCGTTATACTGTTGTAGAAATAAACAATACCCTTTCTTACAATAATTCCATAATATTAAGATGAAAAAATCATACAGAAGTATTATTTTTCTAAATAATATGTTTCTGATGAATTTTAATTACAAGATTTAATTTTTTATAACAAATCTTAATTAGTATACATAACAATAGTATATTATTTATTTACTTATTCATGTATATATATATTTAATTTTTTATGCATTAATTAACTGGTTAATTTGCAATGACATTTTATTTATTAATATTAAAATTTTTAAAGTTTACTGATTAAATAATTTTATAATCATAAAATTTTATTACAAATATTTTGGTAATTTAAAAGAAAAATTCTTGAAAATGACATTACAATTTTTCAATTGTAATTGGAGAAAATACAATTAATTAGAGTATGGAATAATAAAATGTCACTGTAAAATTACACATTATTTATTCTTATTAAAGTATTTCGTAGACATGTAAACGCAAATTTGTTAGAGTCAAGGTAAGGATGGAATGTGAATTTGTATTAATATTGGTATTGCCGATATACTAATCATAATATTTCTTTTTATTTAATAATTAAATATTTATTATTATTATTTAAGTATACGATGCTATGTACATATAAAAATTAATAAACCACGGTAAGAAATAGAAAAATAATTCGTAACATCAAAAATGAATCTTAATGAAAAATATGAATTTTTAAATTGCACAAAATTAAACGAAATTAATATTAATTATTAATTTAAAATTAAACAATAATAATAGTGAATTGATAAGTAATGATTGATAATGAATTTAATAAAATAAAGAATAATTATATTAAAATAGCTTCACATATCGGTGTGCCCAAGTACTCGGCACACCTCCGTATCCTAAGAATCCGAAGATGATTCCAAAATTTCGAGAAGAAATGAATCAATTGGTATATTATGAATAAGACGGTGAAAGAATAAGTATTCAAGACACTTAAGACTTATTGAACGTAATGACGGTAAACGTAGTAATAATTTAGCAAATCGGCCTGGTTCATTCGGCCGGTTAATGCGTACATACTCTTCAAGAGCTGCGTACACTTTTTCTCGTAAGATTTCGACTTCAGAAGCTGATTTTAATCCACGTATTTCAGAATTAAATAGTATTATTGCACGTAAACATCCTAATTCTGTTTTATCTATTTTCATTTCACGCATTTTAGAAACAAGCTCTGACAATACGCGATCAAATATCGCACTCAGTCCAACTTGTTGAGCTGAATTTCTGTTAATTATTGTGTCTTTACCCAGTACAATACCTTCATGAACATCCATTGAACGGTGTGAAAATGAAGCTATTAATAACTCATTCCAACCAGCACGTAATAATAATACTTGATCTTCGATAGGTAATGATGTAAAATGTGGTATGTGTTTTGCCCATTCAACTAGTTGGAACAGTTGTTTGTTTGCTGCATTAGTAAATCCTGACATAGGATTCTGAAAATTATTATTATTAAAGATTAAAAAAATTTAATTATTGAAAATAAATAAATTTATAAAAATACTTAAATTAAGGTAGCTGTCGTGGTTAAGGCATAGTGTCAGAAAATTCTAAATTTTTGTATATTTATTAAGGACATGATGATACAATTATCCTAAAAATTTGAAGTCGATTGATAATAATAATTTATTCATTTAGCCATGGCTATTAATACATCCCAATGATATTAGTATAAATACAAAAAATTACGTTTACTTGTTGATCAAAATACAAATATTTCAACTAGGTACTAACATTCAACTAAGTATGTATAATCAAAAAATAATGAAGAGATTCTCTTCCAGCATTTATAGGATTATTTCAATAGTATATAAATAAAATTTCATATCAAATATCAATATTTGTCTTAATACAAGTAGATTGTTTATAGTTTTTTCAGCAGATTTTGTTCGAGTATTTACTATGTTAATTAGATTACTATTCCTAGTGCTATAATAATTCCGAACAGAATTTGTCTGTATACGATCACATAAATAAGCTGAAAAAAAACCATTTAATATTTTATAAACAAAAGTACCGAGATTATACTTCATTCTCTGTTTTATTGATAACCATCCGAGTGTTTCAAGCATTTTCGCAACCGATGTGTACTTGTTTTTCAAAATTACACGCATGGCTCTATTTTGAAGTTTTTGAAAAATATCCAACTTAAATTTGAAGTCGATTGATCACCTATAACTCGAGATAAATTCAATTAAAAATTGGATATTTAACATTGATTGAATACGCTCTCTGCAGTTCTGTACCAGTTTCTTAGTTGTAAAAAAAACTGAGTCTTTTAATGTATTTGTTGTTAGTTTAAAAAAAAATAATAATTAATTTTTGACCGTCTAATTATTTATAAATAACGGATTAAAAATCAACAATTTATGAAAAATTATATATCTACAGAGTCGGACAGAATCAATTGTATGGGTTGCGTCTCCACGGGTCTCCAGTCTTGCGTAAAAAACTATGGATTACTTAGCTACAAGCTCATATACTTTTGCGACCTGTATAATCTCTAATTTTTTTATAATATTGTACCATGACAACTACCTTAAAATGAAATAACTCTGAGAGATGATTAAAACTCAGTAATTACTTACTTCATAATTTCCTTGATGTTCTAATTTGCATTCAACTCGTTTTTCAGCTTCAAGAATTCGTTCAACGGGCATATCTGTGTGTAAACTGCTGGTACTCTCAACTTCACTCTGATCACGTTCCTTGGTACGTTGACGCTCTTCTTGGACAGCCTCACGTTTCATTCCCATGGCCAGGCATTTTTGATAACGGCAATATTGACAGCGATTACGTTGTCGTTTATCAATAATACATGATTTTTCTTCTCTACAAGCGTACGATAAATCTTTACGGACAGTACGTTTGAAAAATCCTTTGCAGCCTTCACAACTGTAACAAAAATTTTTGAATAAATTATTTAAAGATTAAAAATTAAGTAAAAAACTGCTTCGTAAAATAAACTAAATTACTGCTATTTATGTTTGTTTGCTAAAAAAAATCCTATTTCATGAGCATGAGCAAATAAAAACGGAGGAAATAATTTAGTTATTAATTAATTATCATTATCATTATGTATGTCCTATAATTAAATATTATTATAATTAAGTTTTTTTTACTTTTTTACTTTTGACACAACATTAAAATAAAAATAATGAATCGTCATCCAGATTCTTAGTTAGTGTATTGCTCAATTAGACGTAGGCATTGGAGCGAGCCTTAACTGAATGCTCATTGCAGTTGTAGGAAGCACGGGTGGGTAGATTCACTCTGGATGACTCTATCAAGTCCAAGGTTGACTACAAAAGCGACACTAATTTTCAATTATTTTTTATTTTTTTAGATAATATAATTATCCAATTTCAATACTAATTTATTTTATCGCTTGTCATCGTATCAATAAAATTCACCTATTGATTCATTAATTTATATTTTTATAAAGAAATATTTAACGTATTCGGTGCACGTGAATGCAATTATCAATTAATTTTAATTTAGTTGTAGCAAATATCTGTAATAGATGATATGATATATATATATATAATATGTATTTATTATCATCAAGTTAAAGATCAAGTGATTTAATAACGCATAAGTACTTTATTTATTGTTTGCAACAATAGTTCAATTAAGGCAGTATCGTTAAGTTGTTTCAAAAGTAAATAAATTTTCATGACAAAAAACCTTTTAAATTTATAAAAAAATAATTATAATACTGCTTTTGTAATGTAAATTCTTTCTGATAAAAAAACAGGAAAATGTGAAGCAAAATGGAACCCGGACAAAACGTGACAGAACTGTAAATGTTTTTTTCTGTCGCTTACAAACTTTTAGCTCTAACTTCAACTACACGTTTCGTTAATTTTATGGGCTTTATAAAATCCTATTGTTTGTGTAATTTATAGCAATACGCAATCATGATATGACAGTGATTGCTAAAGCATAGATACCTAAAAAGTATCTTATGTGATGAATCGTAAAATTCTTGAAAACGTGTTCGGTGAAAATTTTATAGTATTTTTTCCCCGAATCGTGTAACCTAATTTCTTATTTTATTTATGTAAAAATTATTTATTACTTAAAATAATCGGCACTGATAGAAAAAATTCCTTTTGAAAAAAATAGGTATTGTTGTAATAAGAAATTAATTTGTTGAAAATTTTATTTCTTAGATGAAGAAATAAAAAATTTTTCTTGTTAAGAAGAAAGTTTTTTTGATTTGGAAAAAAAAATTTTTTTTTCTAAAAATTAGAAAACTTTTTTTTCAACAAGAAAGTAAGTTACTATAAGAAAAATTTTCATTTCTTTAGTTAAGAAAAGAAATTGTTTAAAATTTTTAATAAATTAATTTCTTATTACAACTGAATAAAATTTTTTCTTTCAGTGGGTACAAAATTTATTACATTATAATTATTAGGATTTATTAATTTTATAAAGAAATTTGTCAGTAATGATTTTTTTTTCTTCACAACTAGAAATTGTAAAAATTAACTAGTTTTTGTAAATTTCTTAAAAATTTTTTACTTTATTAATTATTAATACGAATAAATCAATCAATTTAATACTTTTTATTACATTCATTTAAATCCTGCTATCGATTATATCATGATGATGTTATTCAAGGTGTGGTTAGACAAGTAATCTACTTGTCACATTATAAAATGTCAAATAAAAAAATTGTTTTCTCAGGGATATAAAATTTTTTTTTTTTATTAAATAATAATAATAATTTATAAAAAAAATATAAATATTTATGTATATAAAGTAAAAGTAGTTTTGGAATAAAGGAATAAGTAATTATAAATCATGACTCGAGATGAAAAATAAAATAAAAAAGACAAGTCATGTATAAAGATATTTCTAAAAATTTACAATGGATGTATCATATGTAAAAAAAAATAATTTAAATAAAAAGATTGACAATTCATTGGTAATGAATCATGAAATAAATAAACTAAACATAAAAGAAAAAATATATTTATTATATATTTGACGCCTATTATTCATAAGTTTGTGCAGAAAAGGAGCTGGTTAGGTGGAATTATTGAGCGAGTTGAAGCCGACCTTGAACTGTTTGCCCGACTACGCCAACAAATTCAAGTCCAAGTTAAGCGGGTAGAGGTATAAGAGGTACGAGGTAAGAGTATGATAAAGATAAGAGGGAAAAAATTTACCGAAAAAAACCTCCGATAAAAACGAGTGTCTGGAATAGGGGAAAATTAAAGAGTAAATTTATCTAGGTTTTTTTTAATATTATTTTTGTTATTGTCATGGTTGCTATTATTCTTGTCTTGAATTTAATTATTGATTTTTCGAGGATACACAGAAAAAGAATTGACATTTCAATGACTGTACATTAATTTAAAGAAAATAACAATCGCTGCTAAATATTTTTAACCGCTGTTGGATTTATATTTATTTTTATTTATTTACATATCTAATTTATTGTTATAATTTTGTATTAAAAAGAAAAATTTATTTAAAAAATTATAAATATTTTATGAAAATTTTAAGTCAGCCTCATTGATTGTTTTAAAAAATAAATAATTAAAAAAATTATAATATTTATACAGGATGTTATTCCCAAACTTTTTATTCAGAAAACACTATTTTGCAAAATTAAAAAAAATTTCCAATTAAACTTAAAATTGAATCAAATTTATTTATTTATTTATTATTTCATTTCAATGCCAAGGCAGTATAGCCAGATGGCAAAAGTATACAAAAAGAGTTTTAATAAAGTACACGTAAGTCTAATGAAGATATAAAGTTTAGAAAAAATTAGATATCTATTAGTTTAGAAAATATTAGATATACAATTTCATTAATTGACATCTGTAAATTTACTTGTATTCTTAAATGCAAATTTCTGTAAAAATTGATTATTTTTTATGAAATATTATTTTCTTAATTTGGAATACAAATTTGACAAATAAAACAAAGAAAATAAATTTGAGGATAAAAAATTGAGTATTAAAAATTTAAAAAATTTAACAGTTTAACTCAGTGATACAAAATATACAAATTATAGAAGATGATAATCTTCATTCAGTTCATTCAAACCTGGCTAGAAATTCTCCACTTTACAAACTGATGTCTCTATGTAACTACATATGCGACAATGATCAAATGAAATTAGACATAATGTGCTTTAATCAGCCCTTGACGGTCAGCGTGCTAGCAACCATTTTAGTATCTAAGAGAGCCAATTACGAATTTATAACCACCTGACGTTTTGACTTATGCATTTCCTATATAATTAATGTTACTAATCTTACTTACTATTAATATTATTTATTTCATAATGTTATTAATTTAATTTACTGGAATGATAATAAATTTAGATTAACCATTCTCAATTATTAACAGAATACCTTTGGCCGCTGTCTTCTCTTTAAGTCTTAATTTTTAGTGTCAATTTTGTCTTCTGAATTTACTAATTGATTAGTTAAAAATTAGTGTATCTAATTATAAAAATTAGTTGGTACCTAAAATTGTATTATGATTTTGTAAAAATTTTATATATTGTATTTGCAACTGTATACTTATGTGACCCTGTTAATGGCCATTGGCTGTTGGGTCTTTTTTAAAGAAATAAATAAATAAATAAATAAATCTGAGATGATCTAGAACAATAAACTTATGTAAACAGAAATGTGAAAAAGAATATAAACGGTTTGAAAATTAGGATTCATTTTCTTCTTTAAAAGTTAGAAATTAAGGTTCATTTTCTCGTTCACGTTTCATGAAGAATTCAAAAGTACTGATTTTAAAAGAATTTAAGCTAAGTGAAATTAGCAACTTTTTTTTTTTGTGTTTTGATTAACCTTTTAAAATTATTGATATATCTTTCGGTTTTGTACATACAAAAGTGTAACTTAAAATTTCAAGTTCAACTTTGCTACTTAAAATTTTAGTTTAGATATTAGTAGTATAGCAGAATATGAGTAGATATTTATAATGAGTAAGAATGAATAAATAAATAAAGTATATTGTTACCTGTAAACTCCATAGTGTTTGCCACTAGCACGATCGCCGCAAATTGAACACAAATGTTTACTGCCGGACAAGGGATGATTCGGTGGATAAGGTGATCCAGCTCCTTTAGATTGCCCACCCGGTGAAGTACTCAATAAACTGCTGTGACAGCCAACAAACAATCTAGAGTGATTTTCAATTCAATTGGTTCAATATTTATTTAATAATTACACTAGTCATAAATTTCTTTTTTTTTTTTTCAACAACAATCATTTTTTTATTTCTTAACATAATTCATAATAATTCATCAAATCAGGATCAACTGAGAATAGTTTTTCACTAGTGTAATTATCATGAAAATAAAAAATAACTATTTGATTGATAAAAAAATTAATTTTTCACAATAATCCAAAGAGAATTTAATATTTCAGGTGGATTCTATTTTTATATTATAGCACAAGCTTCGCTGGGGCATTATCCGCTTTAAATAGAAAAGTAATAATATCTTCGGAAGCTTTTATAATTTATCCATGCTTGATGCTTGATTAAATTTTTTAAATTCAATTTAATTTAATTAAATTATTGCAAAAAATAAATAGACAGATTTATAATTTACTCCAGGTATATTTTTCTGCAGCTTTAAAATAATTAATAAGAATAAATCGATTTTATTATCTTTTTATGAGCAGACTAAGTGACCACAGCTACCGCAACCGCTTAAAATGACATCGGGGGTCACCGGATACTGACATCGTCACCATTAATAAAGTGCAGGTTTTTTTACAACCGGAAATTTATTAATAGATAGTTATGATACTAAAAATATCAGACATCCGAAAATTTATTCTTCAAGTAAAAAAATAAATATTTACTTAATGACATTTTAAAAATTATTTTCTATTTAATGTTTTATAAAAAATTTTCTCTTTTAATTTCAAATGATCTGTTTTCGGTAAATCTAAAAAGTTCATTAATAAAAATAGTAATAAAGAGAAAGAGGGATTAAAAGTATCTACCAACTGTAATCCACATAAACTTCATTACACAACCCTCTTTCTCATTAAATTTTTGGCTCAACAATCAGATAGGGTTAGGAAGAATTAAGTCTGATTAGAAGTATTCTAATCAATGATACGTCTTCCCAAAACTTTAGATTTGCAAATAAGAAAATTGAAATATTTTTTTACTAACACGCTTTTATTAGCTTGATCTGTATGTACCAAAAAAAAAAAATTAATTTAATTCAAAAGAAAAATTCTTGAACCAAGAAAATTATTTTAAGAATTTTTTTGTCTTCTTAAGACGAAAAATTCGTGAATCAAGTAAAATTTACTTTAATCAAAAATTCTTTAAAAATCAAGGTGATAAAGCTCTTTAGAATTAAGTTCGCGGTTCAAGAATTTTTCTCTTTAATCAACTTAATTTTTTTTTCTGTTTTAAAATTTTAAAAAATTTTCATCAATTTAAAACCGTTCAATTAATTTAAAAATTTGCATTTATTACTTGTATTTAAGACCAATAATCATTTGATAACTTAATCTTGGTCTCCTGTTCAGAATCATCAGGTTAAAAAAAATGATTATTTCTAAGTTCAAAATACACCATCCATAAAATTTCAATAAATATTATTCTTTTTTTTTTTTTTTTTTTTAATTAAGTAAAATAGTACAATTCAACGCTTTTGGTATTTAATTACAATTAAAAAATTTTTAAATAAATTGTAGTTAAAAAAAACTAAAAATAACGCTTTAATAGCAAACCAAACTAAAAAGAAGAAAATAATTTTCAATTAATTTAAAATAAGAAAAAATGTGAAGTATTTTGAAATCAATTCTTGTGAATATTTTATTTGGAGATATTTGTAAAAGTAGAGTTATGATAAATATCTTAAAATCAATGCTTTTTAAAAATAATGATATAAAATATTTCGAATTCTACGAAGCGAATTCTATGTCAGAATATTCTCAAGTCTTCCTTGATGCACAAGAAAAAAAAGACATATCATTTTCTAGGTAGAGTTTTAACAGTTTGGATGTCTACTGTTTTCAGTATTATATCATTTTTTTTATATTATTATGATATCATAAAACTTACCCAGGGCTGTTAGGACCAGAAGGACTAAAATTTCCAGAATTCATGAGGCTCGCAGTATCTGGTTTCATGTCAAGAGGACTCTGAGGACCAACTGAAGACATTGACATATTGCTGTTGTCGAGACTGAGCCCTGTGTGGAAATAAATATGATATATAAATCATAAAATGACAAAATAAGTAAAAAAATAGCATATACTTTTTATATAAATAGTTAATGACTAATGGCTTGTAATTTATATTAAATCTGAGTGGATAAGTTGAAAATAAAGAAAAAAAAATTAGAAAAACGGTTCACCCTAAAGGCCATCCCTGCAACTTCCCGCTCATTTTGTACTTAAACGCTTCAAACTACACATTACGTTTTTGAGCTCTTCGAGCTCAAAAATATTATTTTTGTGTCAATTTGAGCTTTTCGAGCTCAAAACTCTAATAGCAGTTTAAACACACAATTTTTTGAATTTTCAAACGGCAATAACTTTTGAATGAATAAACCGATTTTCACGCGGTTGGCGGCAATCGACGCAGTTTTTGAAGCTCCATGAAAAATTTTCAAGTTTAAATCGATCGAGCCATGAATTTCGAAGTTATTACAAAAAAACACTTTTTTCGATTTTTTTCGACAACGATATCTCACGAACGCATCAACCGATTCTAACGTTTTTGGTGGCGATCGATGGGGGTTTTCAAGGTTAAGAGCTGATTAGTTTTTGAGACCGATCGGTTCAGCCAATTCAGAGATATTTAAAAAAAATAAAAAAAAAAACAACTTTTTTTTTCACTTTTTTTTTAACTTTTTTTGCATTTTCTTGAAATCTACCGGTCCGAATCGGTTCAAATTTTCAGGAAATCTAAGTTTAGTGAAGCCCTTTCGAATGGCATCAACCGCGATGAAATCTGTCAAGTCATTCAAAAGTTACAAAAGGTTTACACACACACACACACACACACACACACACACACACACACACACACACACACACACACACACACACACGAAATGCCTTACGGCGGTACCATGGGGGATCAGAGGATAGAAGAGAAAGGGGTTTAGGGTTTAGTGGGTAGGGGCGTCAGCGTCAAGTTTTAGTATGACGCTGCGTCGAGTCGCCACATATCCGGGCCAACATCTATGCCTAGAATCCGTAAAAAGGATCCCCCCCCCC